TAGCCTTGTTGTACTTATAGTACTTCAGGGACATAGTAGCAGCTCTCTGTGTATCTCTTCTTAGTCCCAGGGGGATTGGGAGATTCATAAAGTGGCTTTTCCTTCTCATTCCTTTCTGTCCATGCTCTTTTTCCCTAGAGGTCTACAGAGGTTGCTTCTAAGCAACACTTGATAGATCTTCTCCTTGAGGGAGCCAGCTGCCAGCACTGCCACCAACATCTTCCTCACCCCACAGACTAGCAGGGGGCTCTCTGCATAGTCTCATTTTCTGTGAAGCAGCTGGGATGTTGCACCCAATACTAGTCCCACACTGCACGGTAATAAAAGCACATTTTGTCACTGCACCACACAACTGATGAGGTTTGAACCTGAGAAATAGGTTTATTTATTTCAGTTACTGAAAGAACGAATAGGTGGTAGACAAAGGATGAATACAAATGGTTTGAGGGATTTGTAAAGTGACCTTCTTCTTACACCTTTCTTCTCTTTCCTCACCTCCTTTTTGCCTATAAGGCTGAATATCACATATAGCTCTGAGCGAGCCTTTCACAAGAGTAAGCTTTGAATGCAAACAACTTTAGCAGCAGAAGATATCAACCAGCCATGCTCAGGGCACTGGTTAATGGCTTTTGAGCCATCATTCCAGGTTTTCTTTCCTGACAGCTGCCCACTCCACACAGGGCTCTGCTTTGCCAGCTGGGCATGGACATGGGAGCCGTGTGGGAAGCCTCCTTCCCCTCTGCTCGGCCATGCGTGGTCATGGGCATGGTGGCTGTGTGAGAAGCCTCCTTCCCCTCTGCTCAGTCATGCATGGTTGTGGGTATGGGGGCTGTGTGGGAAGCCCCCTTTCCCTCTGCTCGGCCATGAGTGGGGCAGGTGTATGCACCTCTGTGCGGGCTCAGCGCCTGCCTTCACAACAAAGGTAGAAAGGCTGGTATGTAAGAAGCGACTTTTGCTTTGTTTGTTGCCTTCCGTAATATCCTTTCTGGTGTTTGTAGGCTGTTAACAGTCCACCCTTTCCTCAACAACAGTGCCCTTTTGTGAGCTATTAAAATTAAGCTTGTTTCTCAATTGCTTTTTTATGGCTTTGTAAAAGATTTATCCTTGCTTCAGATATTGCATAAAATCCCATTTCAGTTGTGGTTTATATCTTCGCCATTTCTGCCACAATATTTCAGGTTAGGTCTCAATCTTCCATCTTTAACAAGTCTCCACACTTTTTATATTGTGTTAGACAGACTTCATTTTATTGCAGGTGTTCTTTTTCTTAAGGCAGCGGATTGTGACAATAGCAAAGAGGAAAACTTTTGTTAAAGTCCCACTGGTAATGCACCACTATTGCCCTTTGAAGTGATTTAACTGAAAATAAGTCCTTTTCACTCCAGCTGTACTGACCTCCATCTTCTAGAAATCATAACGAGGAACATTTCATGCTACAGAAGTTAAGCATTCTTTTAAAATGAGTTACATGCAATATCCATTTCGTAGTAGTAGATAACAGAGGATGACTTGAGTCCCGATACTCTGTTCGGATGTTGATGTAAGTCTGGAGAGGTTTTTATCAAAGTCAGTGAACTTGCCACTCCTTGGACCAAAAAAGAAATTAATCAAAGGAGACACTGCTAGCTCTTCTTTTCGATAGTGGAATAGTTTCTGAATTTTGTAGGCCAGGCTATTGTTCAGCTAAATGGAAAGAACAGGATGATATTTGAAAAAAAAAAAGTTGTATTAGATTCTGCAACAACCCTGACAGCCTAATGGCCTTAATATTTCACTTTCTTTTATTCTATGCTGTTGCACTTACTAAAATGAAGTATTCACTAATAGTATGACTACGAGATAATACATGGATTGGCTTTTGTTGTCTTTCGTGTTAATGGTAATTTGGGAAGCAAATTGTATTTTCTTATTCATTCTTCTTTGGAACAGTGTTGATAAATTAATTGGTTTTGTTTTGGATGATGCCAAGCAAGAAGATGTGTCCAGAAGCACCCCTGAATTGCACTAGTGTCCCTTGTGAGTTCAGTCAAGTGACCAGGGTAGAGACAGTCCAGAGTAAAACCCTGAAATGTGCATGCTATGGATGCCAGCTCCTTAGCACCAGTGCTTTTGCTGAACAGATCCTATCCTGTTTGCTAATGTAGATGTTAGGCAATGCAACTTTATGCTCTCTCTGGACCGTGACTGAGCGTGGTCCTTTGATCTTAATTTAGGGGCTCATGAGGGAGTACATGGTTTTTAAGGTGCCCTCATACTTAATGAGTTTCTATAGCAAAAGCTTTGTGGAATACTCATGTGTCAAAATCTCAGTCTTGTGTTTCCCTTTCAAAATAGATTTTGCTGGATATTTACTCCACCTCTCCGCTCTGCCATAGAAGAAAAATATTCTTCCCTCACTCAGTAGTACTCATCTGTTTAGTTGAGGTTTCAGGGCAGTATCTACTGTTATGTGTATGGGATGGTTGAGGCCTCATCTCTGTTAAAGCTTTAGTCACTGCTAACCAGCTAGAGAGTAGAGAAGTGTGAGAGTTTGTATTCCAGACTGAGTAGCAGCCAGAAACTCCTTCTCTTGTTATGAAGGACATAAGTTCATTGCCTCAATTTATTTCAGTGCAGAAGTACAGTGTAGAGAAAGGTGGCTCTTCAGGTAGCGAGATTTCATATCCTATTTTATAGATCGTAATCTGCAGCTTTG